TTGATATGCCCTTCCCCGGATTGAACATTGAGGATCAGGTCACATTCGACAGTCATGTGCTCAAGCTCCCGGCTACAGATTTCACTGACGTCACGGTCCGGCATGCACGCCTCTCTCAGCGGTCACCTGGTGTGGGAAGTGTGTTTACAACCGGGCCACGGGGACCGATCCATAAACCGGCATTGGTTTAGCGCCAGGTGCGGTGGCCTGCCTGATTGAAATCGGATTAGCGTGCAGCCAGGGGTAAGTGTGCCATTCATGGCTCCACGCCGTGTAAGGACGCTCGGCAATGCTGGTCAGCGCCGGCATCGGGCGTCACGCGCCGGGCGTCACGCGCCGGCCGCGGAGCACGATATTACGATCAGTCCGCGGCGGCTCCTCTCCTGCCTCCTCTGATGACGCCATCTCCATCCGCTCTTGCTGACCCATTTCCCTCTTCATTCGCCGCAATTACGCTTCTTCCGCCAACGTCACGCCACCGCCACCGCCCTTGCGTCATCTGGTGCCAGTCACAGCCCGCCTGCGGGTGAGCTCCGCGCCACCCGGACGCCAGCGAAAGCACCGGTGGGTCGCACAGCGGCGCGCCGCTGCAGCCCCGTCCCCTGTCGGGCACGATGCCCCGGATGCCTCCGTTCGCCTGCAAAATCGAAAGTAGGAAGCGCGGCGTTCCTCGGCTCGGTCCGAGCAGCTGTCGAGAAGCGGGTCAGCCGTGCCGTGCCGTGCCGTGCCGTGCATTGCCGCGGCCATTCGTCGGGCCCGCGCCTCGGTGGCTCGGCGGCCTGCGGCGGCACCGACTCTGGAGAGTGCCCGGCTCCAGCTGACTCACACTCCTGCAGGTGTGCTCACCGCCGCCGGCGTCCGCTCTAACGACACCGGCTCACGCCAGGGGATGTCCGGGCTCGGAGCACGGTCGGCCACGGCCGGCGGCCTGGTGAGACCGTGTGACACTGTGACCCACTGTCCTGATCGGCTGCGGGTTGAGTGGGCGGGCGGCAGTCATCCTGAGGAGGACGGCGACCTCGGAACGCCGTCCAACCGTCCACAACACGGGGTTCACTGGCCCAAAAAGATATTCTGATAGGACTTCACCAACGTTTAACAAGCTCTCAGCATGTATGTTCTGGGTCCTGACCTGATGACCTGTCCAGAAACTCCTACATGGTGATCTGCAGCACCCTGTATAGTGGTAAACCGCTTCAGTAAATCAGGCGATGGGCACAACATGGCCTCTGCAGTCGGGGTACGCTGAGCACCCATGATCATCAAATTAAACGCATCATTCCGCAACCAACTGTTAATGAATCGCGTCGTCCATTGTCCACTTTCCTTAGTACTTGGAGAGCACAAGGCAAGGTCCCCCAGATCATCTCCAGGTCATATCTACTAGAATCTTCGTCACATTGGAAGTCATCTGCTGGGCATGTCGCGCAGTTTATGTGTAAGGGCACCCCAGGCACTTCACGGCTTTGTATGACTGAATAACCAGTGTCATTGCGCGCGTTGTTGTTCGGATCATGCGTCCGCAAAATTATCTACGGCACAAAAATCGATCGTGAATCATGTCATCAAAAGGTATGTGTACGAATGAAAATTATTCTTAACCATGCTTACCAATCGAATAAGGGGCACCATTATGTTTTGTTTAGCCAACCAATCCCCACCACAAGACTTGGCCACACGAAGACGCAGGCCTAACGTCCGCGTCTAATACTGCCCAGCGTGTGCATCCAAAACGGAGTCGCCCGTGAAACGGGGGAAATGTCTGCTCTGAAAGTGAAACGCAGCCGGTCGGCTGCTGGGGTCCTTTCGTGCGCCCGACTGCGGTCGGTGCGACTTGTCACCATTACGACCAGTGAGAGCGCTGTTCCCTGTCGCGAGGCTCCTTAATCACCGGCCGAGCGCACGCTAACCGCTCGCTCGCAGCTCGCGCCGCAGCGTCACCCGACTGATGAGAGGCCCGCCACGCCAGCCGGCCCAGCAGTGCTGCCTCGTCCCTCTGTCTCTGCCGGAGCGACCGTTTGCAATTAACGTCACCGGCCGTCACGCAGGGGTTCGCCCATTGTTGATGTCCCCCGCGGTGGCGTCACGCCGCCGCTGCCGGCGTTTTCACGAGTTTTTACCGTCGACCGCTGTGCCGGCCCGGCGTTGTCCTGTTGCGCCCAGGCGGCGATGTGAGCATCGGACGGGGTGGTTTGTACGTGTGACCTGGTGGGGGTCGGACGGGGTGGTATGTACATGTGGCCTGTTGGGGTCGGGCGGGGTGGTTTGTACGTATTTGTACGTGTACGTGTGGCCTGGTGGGGTCGGACGGGGTGGTATGTGCGTGTGGTCTGGTGGGATCGGACGGGGTGGTATGTACATGTAGCCTGCTGGGGTCGAACGGGGTGGTATGTACATGTGGCCTGGTGGGGTTGGACGGGGTGGTATGTACATGTGGCCTGTTGGGGTCGGACGGGGTGGTATGTACGTGTGGCCTGTTGGGGTCGGACGGGTGGGTGGTATGTGCGTGGCCTGTGGGGTCGGACGGGGTGGTATGTACATGTGGCCTGTTGGGGTCGGACGGGGTGGTATGTGCGTGCAGCCTGGTGGGGTTGGACGGGGTGGTATGTACGTGTGGCCTGTTGGGGTCGGACGGGGTGGTATGTAAATGTGGCCTGTTGGGGTCGGACGGGGTGGTACGTGCGTGTGACCTGGTGGGGTCGGACGGGGTGGTATGTGCGTGCAGCCTGGTGGGGTTGGACGGGGTGGTATGTACGTGTGGCCTGTGGGGTCGGACGGGGTGGTATGTAATGTGGCCTGTGTGGGGTCGGACGGGGTGGTACGTGCGTGTGACCTGGTGGGGTCGGACGGGGTGGTATGTGCGTGCCTGGTGGGGTGGACGGGGTGGTACGTGCGTGACCTGGTGGGGTGGACGGGGTGGTATGTACATGTGACCTGTTGGGGTCGGACGGGGTGGTATGTGCGTGTGGCCTGGCTGGTGGGGTCGGACGGGGTGGTACGTGCGTGTGACCTGGTGGGGTCAGACGGGGTGGTATGTACATGTGACCTGTTGGGGTCGGACGGGGTGGTATGTGCGTGTGGCCTGGTGGGGTCAGACGGGGTGGTACGTGCGTGTGACCTGGTGGGGTCAGACGGGTTGGTATGTACATGTGGCCTGCTGGGGTCGAACGGGGTGGAATGTACATGTGGCCTGGTGGGGTCGGACGGGGTGGTACGTGTGTGTGGCCTGGTGGGGTCAGACGGGGTGGTACGTACGTGTGGCCTGGTGGGGTCGGACGGGGTGGTATGTACCTGTGGCCTGGTGGGGCCGGACGGGGTGCTATGTACGTGTGCCCTGGTGGGGTCAGCTAGCTGCTCTGAGTTTGGGCATTGTGTTGGCTTTGGTCAGCGAACTCTGGCGATCGACGCGGGCCTGTCGCGAGTATGGACGGACGCTGGTGGCTCAAATCAGGAGGGCTCAGTGAGTTTGGACGGTGTGCACAGCCCAATGGCATAGCCCGATGGCACCCCCATTACAGGGAGAGTACCGCTTTCGGAGGCAAGCTCGGAAGCAAGCTTCTTATGCGTGCTCCCTTCCCGGGAAGCACGCCAAACTATGTCATAACCATTACACGCGCACTTAGGTTGTGCAAAGGCGTCACAAAAAGCTTAAAAGGAGCAAATATTTACAATTGAATTTCAAGTTTGAAAGGCCCGGCAAAGCTGCAATGTCTTTGGCGAACTTGGAAGTGTGGTCACGACCACCATTGCTGCCGTCAGTAACAGCCGCCCAATAGGTATTGAAAAGGTCCAACTAGTTACTGGCAACGCGTTGTCGGAAGATTCTAGCAATGCTGACGGATTTGACTTTTTCTGTGCGTCCAAGCCTTAGTGCTGTGGATGCAAATCCGTCGAATTGTGACTTTGAGTATGCTAAAGCATCAGACTAAAGAGCTCAGCCTGACTGCATGCAATGTCGTAAACCAAATGAGCCTACTTGATATCAGCAACAAAGGCCTTGAACCACACAGTGCTGAACACGGGAAGGCGGATAAACACACAAACTCCATCATGGGATCTGATTTAAACAACGCTCTTTTGTTAAGGCACGTTAAGAAATAGCCATGTTCGTTGTCATGAACACCTATGTCCGCAGGCGCCGTTGGCGCTAGCGTGTACTGGGCGCCGGGGCGTGAGGATCTGAAGGTCCGAAATGTTCGTGAGTTCATGCAACGCACGAGGTGACTGATCTTCGCGATAAGAAATTTCCTAAATGAATAATCGGTTTGGGTCATCCTAACCTTCTGGCTCAGCTGCTTGTGTTTTGTGCAGCCTTTAGTGTGGTGTCGTGTATCGGGTGTTGGATTTGGGAGCTCGGATGGCTAATCATTTGGACAGTTTTTGATGACAGTGTCTTCACAGAATCGAAGAGTTTCTGGATTTGCGTATCGTGTTTACTCGTTTATCGCCTAACTTTTTAACTAGCGATGCCCAAGGCGCTGATCGCTGCACAGCTTAAAACGCGGAACATTAACAGTATATAACGCTGACGCTTGATAGTGGCATTAAGGCAGTATGCCTTGACTTATTAAACGCTAATATATGTCAGCATAAAAGCCCTGAACTCGTAATTCCTTATCCGTTAAGTGCTGGTCACTGCAGAGTGAACGATCCTGGCCTGTTCATGTGCAGCTCAAACATTACGGGTATCAACCTTCGGAAGACGATGCTCGCTCGGTGAATACAGTAGACTCCTCCCCCACCGTATTTTCCTCACTTCTATCCCGACCTCATCTCCTCACACCTCATGTCACGTGACCGGAGGTGACCAGCGTATGTCCGCAGTATTGCGCACACCATGAACACTGCGCGTACCACTGTAAGCGTCCCTCCACGGGCGGATTGGAAATGCTGACACACTATCACTCGTATGATTCAACTAGCACGGTTCACCGGGCGCCGCACCAGCGCTCCTGCTGGCCGGCATATCACAGCACCCTGCCATTTTCAGCTCCACTTACTTGTCGCGGTGCGAGATCCGGATATCTAGCGGCGTGGTCGATCCGGACAGCGCGGCACAGAGCACAGCGTCGACTGAACACGGGCGGCCGGGCCACTGAGTGCGCGGCCGCGCCGCCCGGCGACCGGCCGGTCGCGCCTTTCACGCCAGTCGGCAAGTGAAGCCGAACCCCTCAAAATGCGTGCGATCCACGCCAGTGCGTGCTCTCAGGGCGGGAAACACTGCACGTGACAGGCGACTGCCCGATGACGCCGCGCTCGCCGCTCGAGCACGGGTCGGGCATGCACCACCACGCATTGAATGGGGGCACCGGACCGCTGCTCGGCTGATGGCCGTTCCGCTCTCGTCCACCGCTGCCTGAGCGCCGCGGGGCAGCGCGGGCAGCGCGGGCGGCGCGGGGCGGCGCGGGTCGGCGCGGGGCGGGCGGCGCGAGACGGCTCGGAGCGGCTCAGGTGAGGCAATCGCCAGCGGAGCAGACCGGCGCCCTTTGAGCGGGTCGGAGTGGAGACGGGTGGACACAGGGCGGACACAGAAGCGCAGTCCGATGCCCTTTAAGCGGCCAGAGCGGAGACGGACGGACACGGGATGGGCACAAGGCGGGCGTGGGGCGAGCACATGGTGTACACGAGCCGATTTGGCGCTACGTTATATGAATTCTATCAACTTCAAAGCGTTTCAAGTGTTCCTCTAAAAAATTTCCAGATATAATCACCATACGGTGTGCTTTGTACAACGACGCAAGCACGCCCCTGCCTGGTCAGCAGATTTTGTTTTGCAATAATTTCTTGATTACAGATAGAACGAAAATAATGTGTGGCTTATCGAATGAGCTTTTATTTCACCGAAATAGCCTACTTTGTGCAATATACTTATTAGCTATATTGATCCGTCCCGGTGGCTCAGTTGGTTAGAGCGCCTGCCTCCCGGTTCACCCACCCGTGGCGGGGTGGGCTCGAGTCGATTTAGGGCGCTCGCTATTTGTCCTTGACAGGTCTGGCCTGCGGCCGGTGGCAGCGGTAGCGCTAAAGGTCAGCTGACGTCAAAAGGCAGGACGGACCGTGAAAAGCATTGCGGCACGTTCAGCTTTCGCCACTAAATTCTGCCGTTGCCTGGAATTGCGCGATCGGATGGTAGGGGTCAGGGCTCACACAACAAGCACTGCTTAGCGTGAGCGCTGATCCCAGAAATCCATCCATTCAAAGGGTTTGGATCAAATTTCTAAAGAGAGCTGTGTGGTCTAGCCAAACGTGGCCATATGGCAGAAGACTGCATACCATTATGGTAATCTAAAACATGTACGATAATAGAGAAACGGGAAGAGGAAGGAGCAGCTTAGCTAATGAACGTGTATTGTCAAGATATCATCTTCGTGTTCCTTGCTCGGATAAATAGACGTCTCTTCGTTCAAGGGTATTTTCGGCCTCTGCTTAAAGAGCCCGGTGGCAGCGCAATTTCTCACTAGATGCACATCGTGTAACACTGGATGCACACCGGTAGACTCATCTAAATAAACCGTAACGCCATGGCAGCCTGACTGGGCAGGCCGGTGTTAACGCGGCTCTCAGAAGATGAATAACGGACAGCTGACGGGCCTGCCCGTTGTTCGACGATGGTGCCAGCAAAATGGTCAGACTTAGTTGGTTGCCACGCGCATTCCGTCTGATTCTATCAACGAAAAACAAAAAAATAGGCGGGCATAGCGACTGCGAATCCAACAAATACGGACGGAATCAAGGCTATTGTGTGCAAGGAGTGTCTTTACACTACGATCCTCGCCGAGTCAGAGCAGCATCACAGCATCACAACACAGTTTCAGCAACTTGCCTTGTCAAACCCTGTATCAGGCTGAAGAGGACCGCTGTCTTCGGTCCTCTCACAGCAGAACAAGACTTCAGTGCGGACGTCCTGACAGTGCCAAGGAGACCATAATGGCGCCCCAGACACCCTGACTGCGTCCCAGACGCCTTGACTGCGCCCCAGACGCCCTCACTGTGCCCCAGACACCCTCACTGTGCCACAGACGACCTCACTGTGCCACAGACGACCTCACTGTGCCACAGACGCTCTTACTGCGCCGCAGACGCCCTCACTACGCCACGGACGCACTCGTTGCGCCCCAGACGCCTTGACTGCGCCAAGGAGGCCCTGGCTGCGCCACGGACGCCTTCACTGCGCCACAGACGCCCTCACTGCGCCCCAGACGTCCTCACTGCGCCCCAGACGCCCTCACTGCGCCCCAGACGCTATGACTGCGCCGTAGACACTGACTGCGCCCAGGAGACCCTGACCGCGCAAAGGAGACCGTGACCGCGCCACGGACGCCCTGACTACCACCGATGCTTTGACTGTACCAAGCACGCCCTGGCTTGACCACCGACGCCCTGATTGTACCACAGACGCCCTGAGCGCGCCGCTGACGGGGTGGCTGCAGCGATCCCAGTGCCCGCGTCGGCGGTCGGTTCAGGCGCTGACCGTTAGGCCGCACTGACGGCACTGGAGCCGTATGGAACGCCTCCGATCGTCTCTGCAGATCCGGGCAGAGACGCCTCAGGCACGGCACGTGGGTCCCGTTTGGCGGCATTGTTGCAACCTCGCTGACGCTTAGGTGCGGGTTTCAGAACAGGCTCGTGAAGCTTTGTCGCTAGTTTCGGCCTGGCTGCGGACAGCGAGCAAAGCACTGTACAGGTCTGTATGGCATCACCCCATTTGCCTGCAAGTGTGTGACGGAGCGGCTGAGCTGAGGACAAGACTCAGCTCGGCCTCAGCCAGACCCGCTGCGCCTGTCCTCGATTGCGGCCGTTGTCCCTGTTAGTGGGCATCGAAAGCAGCCGGTGAGCAGGGTGCAGCAGTGGCGGCGTCAGGCGGCTGACACGGGGTGGATCTGTAGATGCAGTGCCAGTCCGGCGTGACTGTTTGGCAGAGATGTGGGAGAACCTGCCGCCAGCTATGCCACCTGGTTTCGGAGCGGGTGCAGTAATCGGAACGAGACCGGACCGGTCCGTCAGGCTCGTGACCCATTGGCAGAGCTGCCGTGCCAGTTTTTGTCCCAGTTTTGTAAGCGGAGGTCATATCGGTCTGCCATGAGTTTTGAGCACTATCAGGAGCAGCACAGTCGCAGTATGGCAAGAGTTTTGTAATTTCCTGGAGTCACTGGAGATGAACCATTTGCATCTGTTGATAAGCTGCGGAACAATATCTCGCTAGTAGTGATTTTAGTCATTCAAAAGTGTTTGCTCACGCCACTTTTCTGGTCAGTGGCAATTTTGGTGCCATAAGAAAATGTTGTCTATGAATTATTTTGATGTACAGAAGCAACTTAAGATATCGTGCAGCCCGTGAACTTAACATTACAGACAGCTGTGTGTGTCGTGTAAGGTGAAACGCTGAATTTGCCTATACAGATTGCTCAAGATGTTGTGGAATTACGCCCGACATGAACAAGGATGTGCATAATTAATGTTAAGACATGGATAATGAACATCCTTCGCTACTATAAATGGCAATGAGAGCTTCAACACGATGCTGTACACAGGAACGTTACCTTCATCTGTGGCATGAATAGCATCATCGGATGAGGTCCAAGAAAACATATAGGCAGATGATGCAACGTTAGACTTTAATCACTGCTACCAGCCTGGACGAGGTCGCAGCACATGAAGTGAATGTGGTGGTGTTGTAGAGGCAGCAGAGCAGCGCCCGCCGCGGGCTATTAATGGGTAGGATACCGCTCACCTGCGTGCTGCTACCGAGTCTTGTCTTCTACAGCATGGAACGGCCTGGTCTGGTCACACCGGCCGATAGCGGGCCAAGCCGCTCGCACACTGGACTTGAAAGCACTACACTGTGCACAGACGTCTGCTGTGTCCGTTGCACTGCGCACAGACGTCTGCTGTGTCCGCTGCACCGCGCACAGACGTCTGTTGTGTCTGCTGCACTGTCCACAGACTCCGCTGCGTCCGCTGCACTGTCTACAGACTCCACTGTGCCCGCTGCACTGTGCACAGACGTCCACTGTGTCCGCTGCACTGTTCGCAGACGTCCGCCGTGTCCGCTGCTCCAAGCACGGATGTCCGCTGTGCCCGCTGCCCCAAACACGAACGCCCGCTGTTTCCGCTGTACTCAACACAGGCGCCCACTGCGAGGAACCGCACTGAACCAACTGCAGCTATCAGACCATGTGCTGAAGTCTCGCTGCGAGATACTGCACCGAACACGAGCGTCCGCTATCACGGGCCGCAGCGAGCCCTGAGCCTGGCTGGCGGGGACGGCACAGTTAGCTGCAGCGGCGGCGGCGGCGGCGGCGGCTGCGCCCGACGACCTGCGGTGGACCGGTGCCGCCCAGCCCCAGGCGGCGGCGGCGCGCCACTTGCAGTCGTGACTCATGACTCGTGACTCGGCTTCGGCTGCTAACGGCCGCCGCCGCACGCGCGCCGGAGTCGTCCGCACGCTCCGTCACTCGGTGCGACCCGGCTGAGTCAGCACGGCGTCCCATCGGCTGCCCGGCCAGCGACCGGAGCACGTCAGTCCGGCAGTAGGAGATCAGGGGCCGGGGCAGTCCGGGAGCTGGGCCGAGACAGTCCGGGAGCCGGACCGTGGCAGTCCGGGAGCCGGACCATGGCAGTCCAGGAGCCGGTCCGCAGCAGTCCTGGAGCCGCACCGTGTCAATCCTGGAGCCGGACCGTGGCAGTCCGGGAGCCGGGCGGTGGCAGTCCAGGAGCCGGGCCGAGACAGTCCGGGAGCCGGGCCGTGGCAGTCCGGGAGCCGGGCCGTGGCAGTCCTGGAGCCGCATCGTGGCAATCCTGGAGCCGGACCGTGCCGGTCCGGGAGCCGGGCGGTGGTAGTCCAGGAGCCAGGCCGAGACAGTCCGGGAACCGGGCCGTGGCAGTCCGGGAGCCGGGCCGTGCCAGTCCAGGAGCCAGGCCGTGGCAGTCCAGGAGCCAGGCCGTGGCAGTCCAGGAGCCGGGCAGTGGCAGTTTATTGGTACAGTTTGCAAAAGGTCTGTTAGACCGTGGTCTTGACAGCGCACATGTTTTTTTTTCAAGTCTGGCTTAACATGTGATACGTGCTCGTTACCTAGGGCAACAGCGGGGTCGTTCCAGCGCCGAACCGACATTATGTTGTTTCTGCCGGCCTAAGCATTATGAGTTTGTTGCCCGGAGGAGTGTGCGGCCCTTTCCACCTGTCTCACCAGGTAGTCATCGATCAAGGGAAGTGTCATGTAGGTATATGGTCCTCTGGTCTCTACGAGACGGCTGTTTCATCTCGCTGTTTCGGCGCCACTGTATTCCATTGGTCAGTCGTGTGATGAGGCCCTTGGCTTGAGGCCTGTTGGCTTGTTGAGGCTTGAGGCTCAGTCATGTGATGAGATTCTTGGCTTGAGGCTTGTTGGTTTGTTGAGGATTGAGGCTCAGTCGTGTGATAGGGCTCTTGGCTTGAGGCTTGTTGGCTTGATGAGGCTTGAGGCTCAGTCGTGTGATGAGGCTTTTGGGGTAACCGGTTCCCCTGGGGGCTCCTGAAATTTGGGATTGCTTTTCCGTAGCGCTGCTCCCTCGCATGATACCCGGATGGCTCACACAATCTTTGATTTCACTCCGGCGTTTGTCATCTGGGCGGGCTGCGCTGACGTAAGCGACAGCACAATCGGCGCGGCCGTCGGTTTAACGGACAGCTCTGTGCTGCAGGTGCCATCGGTTTGGAGTGCTACGAACGTCTCAGGACAAAGAGAGCCCTTCTGGTCGGAATGATGAGACCTTTCGGTGATGGACTTGATCGCCGAATGTCTGCCGTTCAGAAAGCCGAAGTACGCATCCAAGAACTGGCCGTCGCCGGTCCAAATCGTTTGAAGCGAAAATCGATCGCTTTGAGGCTAGATGCTTGATATCGAGGCATGTGAGTATGGCGAGGAAGACCAATCTGCTGCAAAATATATTGGAATGTCTTTCCTGCATCAGAATCACCCCTAGTATTCTTCGGTTCCCGGCATAGCTTTTCCTTTCCGCCGATCGTGCAAAAACGAGGTAAAGTGCACATACTACACTTTCTTTAGCTGTTACTCCATCGATGTTCTATGTGGAGAGAACTAAGTATCCCCATATATTGCAAACCATCCGACTGGGTCATAACATGTCTTAGGGAGCCGATTAGTGAAATACCCAGTGGCATGGCTACTTTTGTCTGTCGCTTGAACTGATCTCATCGATCGACCGTGCACTTTGGCCCAAACTGAGCCCGAAGCAAATGTTGACACGCGCTCGGGTAGCCGGTTAAATGCCCTTCGCTCGGGTGGGCGGTAGATATGAGCCCCTGAGAACTCAAAAACTGCGGGAACTAGAGACACCAAATTCACAGGAGGGGGGGGGGGTATTTTGTATGTGAACTCACTTATGTCAGAATCTGAGATTCCTAGGTCATGATCTTAGAGTCAAATAACGCAAAAACCTTAACTCCAGATTGGTGTCCGAGTTGCCCTTAGACCTCTTCACTAACGTCATGAACCTACACGCCTGTTCTAAACAAAAAATTAATTGTGCTTATTTAATTGCAGTGATCTTTCTGGATCTTAAGAGGGTCAGGAAAACCAAAAACCTTTGAAACTGCTCGTATTTTTCCACCTAAATCAGCATCAGGGATTACGCTAAGCAGCATGTTCCTAAAAACAAGATGTGACCTGGAGCATTTTAGGCAGTGACCTGATATAAATTTTGAAATATATGTAGAATGTCTGTTGTGGCTGGTGCCATAATTACATAAGAAATGAGCGCCAGAAAATTACCCATAATGCCAGCTCTAAAATAAGAAGCAGGTTAGTGTTGGCATCGCTTTTATTTTCACACCTGACTGCAGATCATTTGAATTTGTTTTAATTCTGAATTTAATTTGTTTATTGCCTAAGAAACTATATCAGAGGCGCATGGCTTCGCCGTACACGCCGTTGTCGAATGACATTAAACAAGTTCCTAGCAATGGCCTCTGCTGACAGCCACGGTCTGACTTTGACTTGCCAAAGGTCAGCGGTCTTACAAGGCAAATCAAATTCTGCATACCGAGAGATTCACCATGCAGTTACCCACAGCCACGCAAAGTTTGGCACAGCTCCAACGCACTGTTCGGGACGCATTCTGAACAAACCTTTGAAGGGGGCAAATTAACTCCTCTCACTCGAGCGCATGTTTATCAGTCACGGGCTCTAAAATTATGGAACTCGGACCTCGTCTCAGGCCTAAAATAGCATCGGCCACTTCGACGTTGGGAGGTCTATCAGTCCATGCGAGAACTATGTAAGTGGTCGTTTGGTAGGACGTGTTGGAAGGCCAGGTAAGGTAAGGGCAGATAGCTAACAAGCTATGTTGATGACTTTTTCAATGGGCTCACAATGATTTGTTTATCTATAGCGATCCCTATCCTGAAAATCTGATGTGGGGCGATGTTTGTTCCACACAGGCCCGTGATCAACTGCGTGGAAAATCAGTCACGCCCTTGTGGTTCATACTAATGACTAGGACTATGGCTCGTTCAGATTCGGTCGGCCAGCACTTGGACTCGGAGTCGAAGTGATATGCTGTGAGAAAAAAGAATTCAGACTCGGACATATTTAATACATGCCTGCCCTCCGGAGTCGGATTTCAACTCAAAACGCATAATTCCAACTCGGACTCGGGCGTTGGGTTCAGTTTCACTAATGCTGTCTTAAAAAACGAGCTTGTGACATGATAATCACGCGTTGTAATGGGCGCCAAAATTGTGTCAAGTCTTTCGGGAAAGAAATGATTAAATGACTGTTAACACCAAACACTGGAATATGACTTGATACCTCGATCCTCGGTTGAATATATGCAGGTATTGCATGCTTGGTTTGGTCAAATAGATACCATAGCTTGCAACAGAACGATTCCAGTTCGATGAGAGCTTTTGGAATCCAAGAAATATAATCACCCAAGGAAAGACACGCCTAGCATAACAGGACTGAGAACCCCAGATAGCAGCAGACTGAAAGCATACGGATCCATGCAGCGTAATCTGCGTCTGTATTCTTGGCAAGGAGGCAAGACATAATTATAGCACGAGACGTCGTATAATCACGACATTTCGTTGCTTGAAACCTTTGGAACCGTGACCAGTTTAAATGTATGTCTGTTGTGGCTTTGGGTCTGTTCTGCTAACCCCGTTTCGCACTCAGATCTGTAAGGTGGCTGTGGAGGTCCAGAATGCGCAAAAGTAAGTCAGTAACTGACAGGAAATTGGCTGTTCACGGAGAGAGAGGTCATTAATTAAATGTGCCCGCTTAAAGACCGGCGCTTTTGGAGGGTGTTGGCTCCAAACAATGGTCAGTATTTGTCCGAGCCGCAAAAAGCGTTGTACTTTCACCGCGAAATATTTGCATTGCTACTCTAAGAGACCTCACCAGTTTCCCTCAGCAAGACATGGAATCCGTCATATATACTGCAGCCAGCAAAACCCCGGTGGATCCAGTCCTTACGTCAAACAACGGTGACACGGCGTCCCGATCACCAAGCCTGCTTAGCGCCCTGACATGCTCGTCACTGGAAGATGCAGCTCCGAACCTCTCCACTGATAAGTTGACCTCACCACGCCCGGGAGCGGGCGACGACTACTGCAGCGGGCTCTTCAGCAAGTTGTCGCGTCGGTGTCGCGTGCGAGATGCACCTACTCGCTCGTCAGCCCGGCCCGATCGGGCAACATGGTCATCCGCCATCCATGCCACGTGTGTCAAATTCGTTCTGCACATCGGTGTCAGTCCACTGGTTTTAGCGCCGTTCCTGTGCTGGCAATATGGTGGCATAGTGGCGTACGTGCCCGTAATTGTTCTCACTGTCACCAGTTCCGTGCCGCTTCATTTCTTAGAGTCGTGGGCAGGGTATTACACTGGCAAGAGCATAGCTGAAGGTCTTGCGAGGCTGGGGCCGATTTTCCGTGCCTTGGGTCACGCGCTTGTTTTGCTTACCTTGCTAATGAGCATGTACTATATGCAGTTCGTTGCTTGGGTACTCATTTACACCTTTCATTCTCTGCAAAGTCCCCTTCCGTGGGGTACATGCAGTCGAGAATACAACTCCAAACAGTGCTACACTCTACCGCTCCAAGAAACCTGCCGTCAGAAATCCAACTACTCCGTCTACTACGACTTCCGTTGCATGTCTGCCGACGAATTCTGTCGTGCGAACGGCCACCTGGGCTCGAACGGCACTCACTGCTGGGGCACCGCGCTGCCGGAGATGCCGTCACACCGGCTGTCGGCGCGAAAGCTCGACTCTGCACCGGCCCGCTCCCCGTTCCTGCCGCTGGCCAGCGTCGGTCACCGTCAGCCGGCCGCCGCCGACTTCTTCCACGTCTACGTGCGCGGTCCGGCGCTCAGCAGCGCGCCGGCCGCCATCCGGGAACACCGGCAGGCGGCCCGCCTACTCGCGTACGCCGCCGGCTGGCTGCTGGTGCTGCTGCCCTGTCTCGGCCTGCGCGGCGCCGGCTGGACGGCCGCGCTGGCCTGCGCCGCCAGCCCGGCCGCGCTGCTCGCCGTCGCCGTCCGGCTGCTGGCAGCGCCGGGCGCCGCGGCAGGCGCCATCCGCCTGCTCGGCATCACGCCGCGGCCTCTCGGACCTCGGCTCGGACTCGCGCTCTGTGCCGACGCCGTGTGGCTGGCGTTCGCTAGCATCGGCGCCGGCAGCGGCGTCGTGACGTCAGTGTCGGCGCGAGACCAGAGCGGCCGAGGCGCGCTGGCCGCTTCCGCCGTGGTGGGGCTCGTCGCGCTCGGCCTCGGCCTGCTCAGTAGCCTGCTGGTGTTAGCCGCCCGCGGCAGCCTCGGGTCCGGCTCCAGCAGCGCCCTGCCGCCGACGTTCGAGCCGCACGCAGAGGAGTTCGTGCTGGTGACGGTGTCCGGCGCGCTGCAGCGGCTGCCGACTGGCCGCCCCTGGGCGCTGCTGTACTTCGGCGCCGTGGCGCTCCACTCGCTCGCCTCGCTCTCGGTGGTGGTTCTCAGCGCGGCGCTCAACCTGGCCGACGCGGCGCCCTACTGTCGCCGGCGGCCGCTGCACATCGCCGCGCTGGCCACGTACGGCGTGGCGTTCGCCACTAGCTTCCTGCTGGTGGGCTACGCCTGGCCCCAGGTGCGCGGCTCGGTGACGCAGCTGCTCGAGCTGCAGTGGGCCGCCTGCCTGCTGCTGCTTTGCTGCACGCTCGGCCTGAAGATGGCGTCGGACAGGCGGGCGGCGGCGCTGCGCGCGGCGCTCGGCCGGCGTGCGTCTCGACTGGCGCGCCCCCTGCGCCTCGCCTGGCTGCTGGCCGGCCCCCTGGCGGCCGTGTGTCAGCTGGTGTACCGGGCGGCGACGCTGACACTGCGCGCCGGCCCGCCCGAGCAGCGCTGGCCGGCCGTCGTCGGACACGTGGCCGCGCTGCTGCCGCCGCTGGTCGCGCTCGCCACGTGCCTGCACGTGTGCGGCTCCGAGCCCGTGTGGAGTCTGCTCTCGGACTCGCCCCGACTCGAGTCGGACGGGCCGCGCTCCGGCGCCGAAGGCCGGACCCGCCGCCCGAGCCCCGGAAACGGCACGTGAACAGGACGCTTCTCTGTCGGCGACCTCACGCTGAGCCGGCTGGGAAGCTGTAGTGGTCTAGTGATGATCCAGCACTTGTCTGGCGGAGATATACAAGTGGGGCAGAGCGCGACGTGGCGGAGTGTGACTGTGACATTACTGAGACGAGGCAAGTCGGGTTGACTGCAGGAGACAGAGCGGGGTATCTCATGATTAACCCCACTGCGAGGCCCCTTTCACCTTCCACTGCACCACAACTGATTGCGACTGCTGCGGCTTTGTACAGGAATGGCTTAATCAATAAATGGATGCAGTGCCAGACGTGTATTACTGCAGCATTGAGGAGAAATAGAGACTTGTAGCGCAATAGATATAACTTATATATGATAAGTTATATTATATATATATATATAGCTTATATATAAATAGAATAACTTAAATGGAAAGCGTCAAACCAAGCTTTGATAATCATATAGGTTACACGAAAAATGACATATCCAAAAATATGAGCATTATTACGGCTCGTGTCCCTTTTATGTCCCTTCGTTGCTGTACAAAGTCTCACAGCAAATGAATGACATCGTGATAGTGGTCTTGTGTTTTTGATGATCCAAGAAATGCAGTAAGTTAGTGTCTGGGAAAATGTATCTCATCATGCAACAGTGATTCGACAACACTTGCTGAAGCAGACAGAGCTGAGACACAGGGCTGTATTGTACACTGCAAATGTAATACTACATGACTTTACCAGACCAGGAAAGACATATGTAGTTGTGCGTACCACAAATACAAGCATTTTCATGACTTGGTGGGACCAGGGAAGGTGGCGAAGACATGTTCGTAATGTGTGAAGACATGTGGCAAGGGTATCAAACCCACCAATCGCCTTCATCAACCGTTCACAGAATAATCACGTCATGTCTCTGAGAACTGTAAAATGTGTCGGACCGGGACGAATGGACGACTCTAAAAACAATTAACAAGTCAACATTACAATATCTTTCAGGTTTGGCTATAACGACTCCCGCCAAAACACGGAGCACGTAAACAAGGCATGGGACGCATTTTCTGTGATGTTCCCGGTACGTATTTCTGGTTCAGGACCAAACGAGGGCCAATGGTGCACTTGAATTGAACAAAACGTTCAGATCATTCAGCTTTGCGCTCTGTCCGTAACGTGAAAATCCTGGCAAAACGAGAGGCACGTGAGATCTGGTCCCTGGTCCGTCCTCCGATCCAAAACAACGTCATCGCACTCGGCTGAAGCGCCACCTATGACAGCATTGTCCGGCAGAGAACGCTTCTCCGCTATAGATGGCGGCACTGCAGTGATGGCCGTCTGAGCCACCTCGTCTTCGCGAGCCAGCTGTCTGAGCCTGCCATTACCAGTCAACTCGATGCGGCTGCACATCATGCGTCCGACTGCAACTCGTCCGGCGCAGCACAGGCCAGAAGAGCCTCCCGCATCCAGTCGGGAGCAGCCTCTGGTTCGGCGACCAACGCCGGATGTCGTGTGGCATGTATCCGAACCACGTCTGGCGGTGTCCCGGACCCGATCCGGACGAGGTCTGGATCATTTCTGGTTTGTGTCCAAGATCCCTCCTGGATAAAGCTCGGATCACTTTCGAACGTTCTCCACAACCCAGTTTGGACCAGGCCCCGATGTCGCCCGCCCGCTGTCAGCCGGGCTGCAGTCCAGCCCAGTGGCCGATACGCTGGCGGGTGGCGCCTCAGTCTCGGTGGCCACCGCCGGCAGATCAGTCCCTGATATTGTCCCGGATCCAGTTGGCGCTGGAGGAGACCTTGTGGTAGATGCCCGGCTGGTGGTCGACCGCGCAGCCGAAACCAGCCGAAGTGATGCCGGCCAGCGTCCAGTGTCCCCCGTCCCGCACGATCAGCGGACCCCCGGAGTCGCCCTGGCGAACAGGCAGAAGTGAGGCTCACGCTGGGGCAGCCAGCCGAGGGGATGCCGGTCAGCGTCTAGTGTCCCCCGTCCAGCACGATCAGCGAACCCCCGGACCCCGGAGTCGCCCTGGCCGACAGGCAGAAGTGAGGCTCACGCTGGGACAGCCAGCCGCAGCAGGCTCTGTTGCCAGTCTATCAACAACTCCGGTAAGACAAGAGTACCAGTGACACAGAATGCGGAGAGAGTAGACGGTGGTAACATGACGACGAGGACATAATGTATGTACGTGACGCGCGTAACAAAATCCGTGCATGGGCCTCGCTGGGCCGATATAGAATCGTACTCAGGAGCCATGTGATTCGAAGATAACGTTACAATATTCATCCCGAATCTGAGCCAATATTGTCACGGAAAAGCTGAGAGTGAAAGGCGAGGGGGATAAAGTCAATGAAGGCTGGTGGTCGGCCGCGCCATCCCCACACCATCCACTCACTCATCACCATCTCACCACACCAGCACTATGCCATCCTCTTTTGACGTCTTCAGAGACACAAGGCCACGCCGGCCGACCCATGCAACAGTCAGGCGGGCGTCAAATGTTGTCCGGTGATATGGGTGTCAGATGTTACGGAGGCGGGGCAGGCGGCGCAGGCGTCCGGCGCAACTCTTCAGACAGACGTCAGACACACCTCACAAGACAGGTGCCGGACATAGCTCACCAGACAGGTGTCGGACACATCTCACCAGACAAGTGTCAGGCACAGCTCACAAGATAGGTGTCAGATATAGCTCACCAGACAGGGGTCGGACACAGCTCACAAGATAGGTGTCGGACACAGCTCACCAGACAGGGGTCGGACACAGCTCACAAGATAGGTGCCAGACATAGTTCACGAGACAGGTGTCAGACACAGCCCAGTGGACAGGCATCAGATACAGCTCACCAGACAGGTGTCAGACACAGCCCAGTGGACAGGTGTCTAACACAACTCACCAGACAGGCGTCAGACGCAGATCACCAGACGGGCGTCGGACATAGCTCACCAGACAGGCGTCTGTCACAGCTCACGAGACAGACGTCAGACATATCTCACGAGACAGGCGTCAGACACAGCTCACCGGACAGGTGTCAAAAACAGCTCACCAGATAAGCGTCAAAAACAGCTCAGTGGACAGACGTCAGACGGAGCTCAGTAGGCAGGAGTCAGGCACGGCAGGCCTCAGGCGCGGCAGGCGTCAGGCGCGGCTCACCAGACAGGCGTCGCGCTGACCGCTCTCGTGGCCGGCGCAGAACATCTCGGCGTGGAGCTGCAGGTCGATGTGCTTCTGGTGATGCCACTGCAGGCAGTTCTCGTTCGCTATGATTGGCACTGGAGCCTTGTTCAGGATGTTCGTGCCCGTCTTACCTGCGAGCAGACCACTAGAAAGTAAGACCTAGTGACGGCAGACATGCGGCTGCTGCTCGCACGGGGAGCGGAGGAGAAGTCACCTATCCCACGCGGAGCAGACCAGTGCTGAGAAGTCCCACGAAAGCCCAACAAGAACACGTCAACAGTAAGCATGCGTTCAGCAAAGGTCAGGACGTGCCGTTACGTTACGTTACGTTACGTTACGTGCCTCTGTGCCTAGCTCATTGCTTCGCCGTCACTATAACGCGGTTTGATCGACGGTCGCTGCCGTTCCTGACTTCCTCCGTGACTGCAGACCCCCAGCGCCGCCCGGCCGCCCGGTCCGCGGCGTCGGCCACTCACTGAAGGAGTTGTCCGTCTTGCCCCAGCCGGCCACCACGGCCATGTGGCCCGTGTAGTCGGCGTGGTCGGCCGGCAGGCAAATGGGCAGGATGTTGGCTCGGTAATCCACCGGGTAGTCCAGCCGCAGCACGGCTACGTCAAACCTGGGGCACAGCAGGCACCATGTGACGTCACTGGTAACGCGTCCAGCCGCAGCACGGCCACTTCAAACCTGGGGTGCAGCAGGCACCATGTGACGTCACTGGTAACGCGTCCAGCCGCACCACGGCCACTTCAAACCTGGGGCGCAGCAGGCACCATGTGACGTCACTGGTAACGCGTCCAGCCGCACCACGGCCACGTAAAACCTGGGGCGCGACGGGCACCATGTGACGTCACTGGTAATGCCACCAGCGCGGTGTGGGCAGTCCGCTGTTGTAGCAGGTACTGCTCGACAGGTGGCGCTCAAAGGCAGGGCGGGGCTGTTCAAGTCGACTGGCTGGAGCGCGGAGCGTACGGTGCCGCTATTGTCGGCAAGTCAGGCCAGCGGCAAGCGCCATACCAGTTCGAGCCGCCCGGGAGCAGTCTGCGGCTGCATGACGTGGGCACGTCGCAGTTGTATTGCACTTCGCGGATGGGACGCGGCGAAAGTTTATAATCGAGTAGCTGGGGCGGTAAGTGGGCCGGTCGGCACCGTACAGAGCTATCAGCAAGCAAGCGGACGAGCCATATGGCCGCGAGTTTGTTTTTTACTAACCCTATCGCGCAATCTGACGTCAGATAGGGCGCTGCCATTACAATAGCATATAGAGGGCATTCTTTGCCAGGAGACACAGGAGCCCGTTAGGACATGTTCGGCAGCAGACCGCAGAGTCCACATGGCGTTCCAGCGGCCGGCACTCTCACATCGCGCCCGCTCCCAGGCCCGCTCGGGCCGTCGGCCGCCGGGCATGCTCACCTGTCCGGCTGGGTGAGCATGTAGTGGAAGCGGGGGTTGATGCGGACCTCGGCCACCGAGCGCACGGCAGACGGGTACGGTTCCGGGTAGAACCCAGTGTCCTTGGTGTCGTATTCGCCCAGGTGGACCTTGATGTCCTTCAGGTTGGCTCTGCGGCAGGCCGGTCGGGGATGTTTTCAGGGGCGTCGGGAAGACAGCGCAGTCGGCCCGCACCCGGCGAGGGACAGTTGGCGTCGCCAGCCGTGACGACAGCAGTGTCAACGCCCTATCATCACTCGCTCGCCCCCCCCCCCCCCCCCCCCCAGTTACCGCTCGCATCACTTGGTGCTGTACCACGGCACGAAGACCTGCCGCACACATGCCCTCCGAGTGATATTTCTAACATATGCCTTTCACTGATATGTGAACAAACACCGGCTCGCCTGGTAGCGACTGGCGTGTGAAAAAAAAATGGTTTCGACTGAGTGGGCTCACATCTTAAATGGAAATTCTCAACTAGGACTGGAGCGGCGGGACTCGCGCCCACCTGTGCACGCAGTGGGCGGCCGTGACCACGTGCCGCCTGCTGACCAGCACGCCGCCGCACTGGTAGCCCAGGATGCGGATGTGCGCCTGCCAGGGCAGTTCGCCGTAGTCGGCCTCGTAGCCTCCAATGATGCGCTTCTGCAGACGCGGCAGCGGCACGCCACACTCTGCAGGGCGAGAGGCGACGGTCAGAGCGGCTGTAGAGTGGAGGCGACGGTCAGAGCAGCTGTAGAGGGGAGACGACGATCCGGGGGGCTGTAGAGGAGACAGCAGATGAGGCTGCTGTAGAGGGGAGACGACGATCCTGGCGGTTGCCGGTAGGCTACACTCTGTATTGCGTCAACAGTGACACACATCGATTGGTCAGCACGGCTGGGTAAGTTCACACAAATGGCAAGTGGATCAGCGGTGTCAGACGACCAGTGGGGTCGCTCCGGGTCAGTGGACCAACCAACATCAAACATATCGGCGCCTGGCACGAACAGACACCAAACACGCTTCACATATCGGCGCGGCCCATAGCTGTGTAGCCTGCGTGGTAGCTCTCAGCTGCTACACATGGCTTGTGTCGTCACTGTTACGTTTGCAAATGTCAACTCTGCCCTGGATGACGTAACATGTCATATCAACAACATGTCGCAACATATCAACATATCGCATTTCACATCAACACATCGCAACACGTGCTCAAAACAGCTCGTTCAATAAAGTACACTACAAATACTGAAAGTGCGTTGCCGCATGCCTGCATCAGCACCAAAATTGACAAGCAACGTACGCCCGCCAGTGAGCTGGAATGGCTGCTGGCATACGCATGGCCTACCAACGCGCGTTCATTCAGCTGACTGTCGACATGAAGACATTGGTGGCACTTCAGACGATGTCGGTGTGTGTGGCTCTGCATGCGGCCGGAGGCTGCCCACAACACCACACGCGCTGTGGGGAAGAGCGCCGCCGGATCCTTTCACTTTTGCTACCGCGCCGCTGTCTTTGTTAACATGTCTGCATTCTTTTGGAAAGGAAACAAGCGCGGATGTCCTGAAAGTGAGCGAGCGAATGCGTCTCAGGAATGCTAGAGAGTATTTTCGCCGTCGAGGTCCAGCAGCGTGACGGCTCCCATTAATCATCGGTAGCGTGCTGCGTGTGACGGCCAATGAGGAGTCTGGACGCCGGCCCGGACGGCAGGCGCCGGCTACCGTGACGTCACAAGGACCGCATCCCGCC